GTCGGCAAGGCTTGGAGGAACGCGAAGCAAGGTATTGAGGAGCCTGGACCAGCTAGGTCCTGTAGTACCTAGCAGGCAGATATGGTGGCGGCTTTTCGCAAGGTGGCTAAGTCCTGGCAGCGAGAACACCGAGAGCAAAGTCAGCCTGGCTTTCGAAAACATCTGGGCCTGCTGGAGAAAAAGAAAGATTACAAACTTTGTGCAGATGACTAGCATAAAAAACAAGAGTTCCTCAGAGGTCTTCGAAAGAAGGCTCTTGAAAAAATCCAGATGAATTCTACTATAAAATGACTCGGGTTAAGCTCCAGGATGGAGTTCATGTTATTAAGGAGAATAAGGAAGAAGTAACTCCAGAACAGCTAAAGCTAATGAGAATTTAGGATGTCAAATATATAGAAATGAAAAGGGTTGCTGAAGCTAAGAAGATTGAAAGACTAAAATCAGAGCTCCATCTGCTGGATTTCCAGGGAAAGCAACAGAACAAACGTGTTCTTTTTTGATGCCAAAAAAGAAGTTGAACAGTTTGCTATTGCCACTCATCTACAGACAGCCCAGAACTAGCTGGCAGAGCCTTTAACAGACCCAAGACAGAGACCTTGCAGAAGGAAAGAGTGAAAGGAGTTACCCACCAGACTCGACTTAAGCGGACAGCTAAAGAAAGCCAAAAGCAATGTAACTGCCTGACACAGCGGATTGAACGAGAGAAGAAATTATTCGTTATTGCACAGAAAATTCAAACACGCAAGGATCTTATGGATAAAACTCAGAAGGTGAAGGTGAAGAAAGAAACAGTGAATGCCCCAGCCATTTACAAGTTTCAGAGCTGTCGGAAGCGCTGAAGTGTTATAGATAAGCCTTATTATCATTTGCATAAAAAATAATTCAATTTTTAGTAATAACTTCAAATTCCATTATTTCAGATGAGATCAGTCGTATTCTGGGTGGCATGGTCATAGGCCTACCTATTAGTTCAAATGGCTTGGCTTTCCTGTTTATAACCATGAATTATTATTGATGTCTTTCTGTGAGCAATATTAAAGCCCCTTCCCTGCATCGTTTCTGGTTTGTCAAATCATTCTTACTTTTTTATACAGTACTTACATTTTTTTCACTATGGAAGTTACATATCATTACAACAAAGTAGAAAATAGATTAATTCATTCTTAATTTTAATACTTATTCAAGAATAAGAAGTAATTATTGGCTACTGGGAACTAAAATTACAGAGGTAAACAATTGTGAACATTCTGTTTTACTTAATTTTATAAAGTTGTGCATTAGTTTTTATATTGTTTTGTAGCTATAATTTTAATAAATAATTTTACATCCAAAAAAATTTATATACTAATATATGTGAAAATCCTGTATTCTCATGTATCCTGATCAACATAGGAAACAATTTAAAGAAGTTTGGTAAGAACTTGTCTCAGGCAGATCACCTATCTGGTAAGTGTAAGGCAGACTTTGGCAGCAAAAAAATTAAAAACAGGGCCAGCCAGGTAGCTCAGGGGACTAGAGCACGTGCTTAGGCAGAGTGCAGCAGCAGCCGGGTTCGATCCCAGGCATGCTGTGCTGTCCCTGCCCCAGGGCACAGGAATTGAAAGTGGGTGTGGTGGTG